GGTATCGCTGCTGCCGTCTCGCCCGGCGCGAACAAAGGCTGCGGCAGCGTCCGTCCCGCCTGGGGCTGCGGGGCCGGGCGGATCGATGCGCGCCGTGCCGCCGCTATCTGCTGCCTTTCTATCCATCTGCATCTGGCGCGCGGCCATCAATGCCCCGCGCCGAGCATGCTCACTGCCGCCGCCCCCTGACCCGCTCTTATCCGTTGATAAGCCGCAGAATGGGCTCTTGTTGGGATGAGTGACAGGAGAGTCGCTCCGATAGGGACAGACAAGGGCCTGAAAGGGACGCACCCTTGAGACCCACAGACGCTGCCAAGCCGTCTCTGTTAACCCCTTCTGTTTCGTAGCCAGCCACGGCCCAGCAGCCTCTGTATGGCCGTGGCCGGCCCCGAAGTCCCCACCAGGACAGTGGGAGAGGGCCTCTCACACCTTGGCAGCAGGCAGAGCCCCTGGACACTGGAGCACCTGGAGGTTTCCCGCCTACCCCCCTTTGGCTCACTGCTTCCAACCTCCTAAGATGCCCTCGAGCCTCCTGGTGGGGTTGTCTGAGAAGTGTCTCCGCAGCCCCTCGCATCCCTTACCGGCTGCTCTCTGGGGTGGGCTTGGGGTAGCCTTCCACTGCTCCTTCCCAGACAGCGTTGGCAAGGGCGTTGCCGATGGCCGTCATGACCATGAGAAGCTCGCTGGGCCAGTCATCCAGGTCCAAGGAGCGCACACGGGACAGGTGGGTGCCCAGGTTACGATGGATCCCAGAGCACTCAATGCACATGAGGGAGCCCAGGTTCAGGCTTGCCCAGTCCGGATCTGAGGGTGGCAAGATCAGTGGGGTGAGGTTAATGCCAGCACAGACAGCACCAACCAGTCCCCTCCCATGACCCAGGAGACTCCGATTTGCAAGGACCTGCCCATCAACTTCCTTCCAAACCCAGTGCTCCAAAAGCACAGGGAAGCAAGGACCCGGGACTGGTCAGTAAGGGGCCATGGAGCAGCACGGTAGGTAGGTCGGTCCCACAGGCACTTCCCAATCCTGAAAGAATGGGTCCCTTCAGGAGAGGTCAAGAGAGCCCGACAGGGTAGGTCCCTTTGGGGTGGGAGAGGAGGGTCGCTGGGGTAGAGTCCCCCTTCCCTTCCTGAGCAGGCAGCCCCATCTCCCAGCGCAACACTTCTTACTTGGTGCATCGCAGTCCACGCAGAAGCTGTTCCCACGTGCAGTGCGGACGGCCTGCATGGCCTGTGCATCGCTTTGGCTGCCCAGCCGAGCCTGAAACAAGCAGCACAGGAGCCCCGTTTACTCAAGGCTGACTGCAGCCCTGTCTGTGTCCTCCCATCACCATCCCCAAACAGCCCCCAGGAGGTGCCAGCACCTTGCTCCAGTGGGCACCCAGCGGGCACCCAGCAGGTGGAGGAGAGAGAGTCCAGTACGGGGCACTCCAAGAACAGGATCCGGGGGGAACAGAGATCTAGACAGGTAAGAGCTGACTCAGAACGGGAGCAGGGGAGGCAGGGCCGGCCAGAAGGCAGGGAGCAAAGGGCTCAGTGGGGCTGAAGCCAGCTTGGGGAGAGGCAGGGTGTTCAGAGGTGACAGCAAGACCAGAGAGGGAATGGTGCATTCCCAGGGACAGGATCAAACCCTCACTGGGAGCAGAGGACTCGGGACAGGATCCAGCCTGGACAGAGAGAGGAGTGTGGGACAGAGAAGGATGCAGCAAAGCACATGCTAGAGAAGAAGGGCGAAAGCAGCACTCAATCAAGGCTTCTTACCTTATTTTTGCTGCTCTCACAGCCCTGCAGGCTGGCCAGGATCTGGCTCTCAATGGCCTGGACCCAAAGCTCTCGCTCCTCTGATGTTGAGGCCTCAAAGAGCCATGTCTGGCCCGTCAGGGATACGATAATGAACTCAAATGGCTCATCTGGTTCTGGAAAAGAAAGGTGTGCCATGGCATGGGACAGGGAAGGAGGGGTGCCTGCAGCCTCATGGGATGCACACATGCTGATGTGCAAGTCCACAGATCCCTGTGGGCTTCAGCTGTGCCGGCACATGGCAGGATCGGTCAGCAATGTGCCCCCAGGAGGCTTGGACAGAGCACTGTCTGCAACACAGGAGCTGAGCTCTGGGCCAGCCAGTCCCTCCTGCTGCTTGCAGAGCGCGCAGCTCCCTGCTCCCAGACTCCAGTGAGGGACTCTCTCATTGATGGGCTAGCCCTTCTGCACGCAAACACACATGGCCTTATTCCCCAAACGGCCTGGACAGAGAAATGTGGCAGTGCTGCGGCTCGGGTTTCCTGGAGGCTGCCTCTGCCCCGCTATCCATGCTCTGCGCTGTCCCCCCCTCTGGACAAAGCTGCTGACCTCTGGGGCAGCGGGAACAGCCCCTCGGCAAAGCTTGTGTCCCCTAACAACACCATCACCAGAGCCCCACAGCACTCGGTGCCTGGTGATGAGTGGCTTTACAGGGCTAGAGCCCTGCAAGCTGGGCTGGAAGGAGATGCAAGGAGCGTCCTTGAGGTGGGCTCAACGGCAGCCCTTCAGTCCTCCTGTGCATTGAGGAGTGCTGTGCCAATCGAGGGGCCCAGCAGGATAGGTCCCTGCTCAGGGAACCCTCAGTGCCTGGGCGCTCTGCAGACCCCATGCAACAGGGCATGACCGCTGTTTTGCCATGCAGGAGCCCTAAGTCACAGAGACCGGGGCAGGAGCCACAAAGAGGTGAGAGTGATGCCATCCCCAGCTCTGATGCGCCTCATCTCTCAGTGCCCTGCTGGGCAGGTAACGCCCAGCTCGCCCGACCTGGGAGGCTGGTGACCATGGGGTCCCTGGAAGCCAGCCAGCCAGCAGCTGCTGACGTGGGTCACAGCAACACGCAGCGGAGGTGCAGGCAGGGCAAAATGGCCAGGACGGCAGGGCCAGGCAACCGGCTCCTCAGTCACAAATCTGCCTAGCACCAGCACCGGAGCCCCTGCAAGAGCCTGTGGAAGGGCAAGACATAAAATGCGGTCTCCATCGTTGGCCAGCGCTCTGACTACCAGAGGGACAGGGCTCTGTTCACGCCAGCCCAGGCCATGGGCTGCATGGATGTGGGGAACATAGGCCTTAGCTTTGCACAAGGTGCCCGGTCTCATCTTCGCACCCAGGCACCAGCATTTACCTTTTATTGCCAACTTCAGTAGTTAGTGCAGTAAATGACTTAACTAAGCGGGGCCTGAATGGAATGACTAATAAACGTTATGTCACAGCACACGCTTCAGCTCATAGCAAAATGATTTGTAATTACCTAATTAGCGTTATGCAAATAACAACCTCATCTCCATAATGTGCCTTCCCAGCTCTCTATTAAAAGCAGGGAGTCAACTGCACAGCTCCAGAGACAGCGAGGCGGCTGAGGGACCCAGCCTGGTCTGCGGCAGGGCAGAGCTCTGGTGGTCTCCAGCCTGGCAGGGCCCTTGCCTGCTGGGGCAGGGGGCGGCTCCTTCCTCTGCCCCGACTCGCCACCCTGGTGAGCTGCAGGCCACAGGAGTCCCTCACTGAGGAGGGACACAGCAAGACAGTGGCAGAGGAGCCTGCTGCACCCCAAGCAGAGCTAACCAAAGAGAGCAGAGGCTGCCAGTCTGGTCCCCATTCTGCCCCACCGAGGGCTCGGCTAAGTCCAGCTGCTTCCGGGCAGCCTGGCAAAGACGAGAGCAAGGCTTTGTCCACAAACACTTCTCAGACAATGGTGCAGCTGCAGAAAGGGGCAGGAGAGTGCAGCCCTTCCCCTCTCTTGCAAGTGCTCTTTCCAGGCTCTCACTTCATTTGGGGGCACCACCACCTGCATTAACAAGTACCGGGCACAGCACCCAACTCAGTGTCTCCACCACATACAGTTGCTTATTCTAGAACAACCTGAGGGTAAAATGCTGCTCCTGCCACTGTGCCATGGTGCAGAGTACCATGCGTCTCACACAGCAGGTTCAGGATCTTGCATTTTGTCAGGGTTCAAAATTGCAGTGACATCTGGTTGGAAAGATGCCTGTCCTGTGCCATTGCTGAGAGCACTCCATGGTACGTCCCGCACAGACCCCAGCAGGAGACACAGGGACTTGGACATCATCAGCACTGATGAAATGAACTGGTGCAGGAGTGCAAGGCCTGGTACCAGCTGTTGCCCAGCAGATGCTCAGGAGGATGAAATGACTCCAGGACAAAGGGCTCTCCAGGTGCAAGTGCCAACTGGCTTGTCTTTCCCGGGTAGGAAGGGGAAGCTGTTTCACTCATTTCTTCCTAGATGCAGCTTGGGACTGAATCTAGGCGATTTCTCCTGGGGAAAGAAATCTGCAGTCCCCTTCCTCCTACTAGGAACTGGAGGTTCTGGGATGCCAGGAGGAGGACAAGACTCCAGTGTGTTGGCAGTCATGCTGTGGGACTCTTCCCCTCTCCGTGATGCACCTGGCTAACTGGCAAATCAAGCTTGCCCAGCACTTTGCCCCTTCCTCCAGCTCCCAGACAGAGGACAAGCACCACAAACCCCTCCTCCTGGAAGCTCCCTGCAAGTAACATAGCTCCTACCCTAAAGATATGCTTGCTGTGGAGGCTCCAAGAACACCAAATGCCAGCTCAAAAAAAAAAAAAAAAGATTTGGAAAATACACAGCTGATATAACTTCCAAATATGAGAAGAAATAACTGGACAATAGCCTGGCTAATAGCCTCTGCCTACTTGGCAGGGCAGCACAATCCTCTTGAGCACTGCCACACACTGGACATGGACAAGGAGCGCCCAACCACTGGTGGCAGCAGGCAGTCAGGCAACACAAACTTACGACCACTGCGCTCAGCTGGATCATGCCAGCTCCTGCTCAGCTCCAGGCCACTCACAAGCAAGCAGCTGACCACAACAGTCTGATTCAGCTGCCACCACCTCTTCCAGCATCCCAGCTTGCGATTCGGAGCTGCAGTCCAGGGGCTTGAGCACTCCAGTTGTTCTCAGCGACAGGTCCTTCTACCTCTGCATCCACGTAGGAAGCCACGAGAGGATCCAGGCCTCTGACAGCTGCAGGATCGATTACTGCACTCACATGTTGCCCGAGGCTAAGCATTTATAGCCAGGAAGGAAAGAGGGGCATTTCTTCCTGGGGGCCAATGAGTGCCCAGGGACTTGAGGGAGCATTTGCTGTGCCAAGAACTTGGATCGGGCCACACTTGCAGCAGCGATCGATGAAGCCATTCCTGGGACAACCAAATTTCACAGAAAGGGCTCCATTCTCCTTAACTCTCTCCTGTCCCTGGTTTGAGCCACCTGTGGCTGCTAACTGTCAGAGTGTGCTGCATAGCCCACTCCCCAGGCTAGCTGCCGGGACCTGGGGGCCACGCACTGGCTGACGCTCTTTGGGTGCTCTCCACTGCCAGGCTGGTTCTGCTGCTGCTGAAACAGAACACAGCCCCCCAAGCGAGACTGCAAGGATGCCAGCCACGGGCTCACCTGTCCCCACCAACCCTGTTCATCTCTGTTGCTTGCTCAGTATACCTCCCCACCCTGGTCCAGACCCAAACACGCGGGCAGAAACCTCAGCCCAAGCCTCCCCACACCGGCACGCTCCCCAGGGGAGAGAGGGCTGCAAGCGCTGGCCCTGCGGGGCTGACTCCCCCAGGGCACTCACATCCACGCTCTGCTCCAGGGCTGGAGGCACCGTGTGTCTCCTAATCCCCTGCTCAGGATGCTCGTGGAGCAGGGACAGGCAGCCTCCTCCTGCTGGGATCCCTGCTGGGCTGCCCACACCTGAGCACAGGGAAGCAACGAGATTTCTGGGGCTGCAACCCCACGCTGACGGGCTGTCCCCATGCAGCAGGAGTGCTGCCCTAGCTCAGGGATACCCCAGAGCCCTGGGGCTCCTGGCCTCCGCTCTGGCCGTGGTCCCAGTCAGACCCAAAGCCCCAGCTCTGGCTTTGCAAGCTGCAGCACTCCCATTCCCTTTCCTCCTTTGTGCCTCTCAAATTCCAGTTTTACTCGGAACAAAGGGCCTGTTGCTCTCAGCAGAGCCTGGGAAGAGCTAACAAAGGACGACGACAGCTTTTCTTCCACGCTGAGGATTCTTTTGCAAGCAAAATCTCTACCTTTCTTTCCCTGCAGCAACTCAGGGCAGTGCTGCAGGGCCAGACCTCTTTGGAGGCTTCAGAGGAGCATGGCTATGGCGGGAGAGTGGAGAGCTGCAGGATCACAGCTTGAGATCCACACAAAGGGTTTGGCAGAGCTGGAAAAGAAATTGAGGGCTCAGAGCAGCTTCAAATGGTGTGCACAGCCGGCTTCCCAGACGGCCTGGGGCGAGTTCCTGAGCTCCCCGGGGGCCTGTGCAAGTCCAATCAGCCTCAAGTCATGGCTTTAGGAAAAGTGTGGGGCTTTCTCAGAAGGCTGGGGAGAGGCACAGGTCTCTGACAAGGCAGGGGCATTTCCGGCCAGATGAAGGGGTAGCACAAAGCAGATGACACAGGCAGAAGGAGTTGGACTACCTCTGCACCTTCGGAGCGGGCAGAAAGCCCCTGCCCTGAGCCATGTGCAGGGCATAGACTTCGCCCAGGTGGCTGGGGTGGACAGAAGAGCCCCGGGGCTCACCAACTCAGATTCAATAGGGCTAAGATCTGGGAGGATGTCATCCCTACTGGAGTGGGGGAGCCCTTTCTAGCTGCCTCAGGGTAGAGGCAGGGGCTATCCCGGGGCCACAACTCAGGACTCGTCTCCCCGGCCCTGCGGCTGCCTGCAGACATGCTGGTGGGAGTCCATTACGCCAGCTCCATTAGAATTAGTGGGCAGTGAAAATGAACAAGCTTGTCTCACTCTCTCTTGATGATTTTTTGATGATGTTTTAAAGACTGAGCTCCGTGAAGAGCTGCTGAGCAGAGTGCAGCGCGAGCCGGCTCTGCTAATGGGCGTTAACCCCACGACCCTGCTC